CCAGTTGTCGTATCTAACACCCTTGCTTAGGTGTTCCTTTTAAACCCTCTGATCTAACCTTAGTATTAATTTCACCAGGTCACAGACCCAGATCTATTTGCATTTGACCATAGGACTACAATTCTTAGACTATTTTTATCCTTAAGATAAATCTACCAGAGTGAGGCATATTCTCTTTTACCACTAACCTGGTTTGACACTATGGCTGAGGCCAATACTTGCAATTAAGATTATTTCTTAAACCGCTATTACTCTTGTAAAGTTCATCCAAACCCTAGTACCTATCTTTCTAACTTCTTCTTCATCATTTCCTACTAACTGCAACTCAGAACTAATCAACTCTCCAGACTTCCAATCTAGATGACCTGGTATGATATACTTATGTATCCTTTTTCTTTAGTGATTCTGGTAACCTGGTTGGTCATATGCTTCTCTACACATCTTTGTCATTCAGTTTATCTGACAGTTTTTATAAAGGTGTTTCATGAGCTTCTATTAGTTCAATAGCACTATTGAAAGTTTGTACTACCTCTTTACTTAGGATTTCTAAGTGAGTTTCTATCTTTTCGGTTTCTTAGCCTTTTATGCCTAGTGGTCTTATCATGGGTTTGCACCAAGGTCTTATACGACACCAGTTTTAACATTTCTCTATGTACATGTACTATGTAACATTATACTTCATATAGATGCTCTAAGCTTCCAATGTTAAATAAGACCCAACTTGGTATATCTAAGATTACAAATGCCCAAAACTTAACCAATCGGCAAGAGACAGTTATTATAACACAGGTATAATTTCCAAAATTCATCATTTATAGGAATTGAACCTTAGACCTGCCACTTGAGAGTTGACAACCTATTCACTTTACTAGGTCACTACACCCTTTCTCAAATTCTCTTTAATTCAGCTTAATATTACTATTTAGCTATATTTTTTTATTCAGATTTCTGTTTTAGCTTATTTTAGCAAATTAGATTGGGTTTTCTGAAATGGTTTGTTGATAAAATTTATTCTGTATTTTTGCAAGCTTTTGCCAATAATAATATTTCATATTTTAGTACTTTTCTGCATATTTTTTGCATATATATATGCAGAGAATATAATTTCACTGCGCTTCTTACATGGTACATGTTGGAGAAATTTTTAGTAATAACTACATCCTTCAGGCCTATAACTACTCTGTTTACAGACTTCTTCACTTCTAAGAATGTATTTACAATAATAAAATGCCATCTTTTAAGATAATTTCTTTTTATGCTATAAATTGATATTGGTTACTTTTTAGTTAAAAATTAATTTTTATTTTAAACTTTTTTTATACAGATTTAGTATTTCTATAAAAAAATATTTGATACTACCATAACTCAATCTGAGCTTTCAGAGATTTTGGATGGCTTTGCCTTATACTATTGTAAATTAAGAGCTTCTGATATAGGTGCATGCTTATATAAAATTCAAAATGATAATATTAGACCAAGAAATTTTCTAGACACAGATAGTGAGGATGGTATCGAAGCTATACTCTTAGACTGTGAAAGCCATTTATTGCATGAATTTATTGATAATAATGAGCCACTTTATCCTATTATAGATTTTGATTTGCCAATAGAAATGCTAAATGCTATTAATTCTAAAGTTTCATATAAAGAAGTCTATAAAGCTATTTAAATAGTTTTTAGAGATGTTTGTCTAAAAATATATCCAGATTGGGATAAAAAAAGTATAACTGTTGCTACTAGTAATGATATAAAATATCTTTTCATATCTTTACTACTAGTATAAGACTTAAGAATATTGCTTAGGTTGCAGTATTTACTAAACTTGTTTGCAAAAAACTCCAGATAGAATTACAAAAGAAAAGCATTATTAATAATATTGCAAATAAAAGGTCTTTCTTCTTGTAGATGCTTGAATCACCCAAGTATAAGAAAGAAATAAAAGAACATGTTTGTATAAAAAAAGCTGTCTATTCAAAAGATGAAACTTTTTGACTTCATTATTTGCTTACTAAATAATGAATTAGAAGTCATAGAAAGCCCTTTCTTAGATGTTTTAGAAAATATAAGCAGAAAAAAGCTCTACTACAAGTAATATTACTATTAAAGCTGAATTTGAGTTGGCAGAGACATTACTTAAAGAAGCTTATATTGAAAACTATAATCTCTCATTTTTATCAGAAATTTTTTTAATAAATTTTTATTATCACATATTTCTTCATCATATTGCCTATTATATAATTAGGAATACACAAATGATAATATATATATTATATAAAATAAAAATCTTATAGCTTTTTCTGTTATTGTGCAAACTAAGAAAAACAGCCTGGTATAAAAAACTCTTTATTACAGCTTATTATTAGCAAAACAGCTTTATATAGAAAAAAAAAGCTTCCAAGTTCTGCAAAACTAAGCTGATTCAGAATTTTAAATTCTAATAATCACTTTGTATAAAGTGACTTACTGTGTATGTATACTTCAGAAAAAAAATTCTATTGTATAATTATCTATAAGGCAATTCAAGCAACAATCATCTGTGTTCAGAAGAAAACAAAAACATAAATTCTTAAATATAAGAATTTGAATAATAGACTTATATTTAACATAGGGCCTAAACTAGATATTGTAAATTTTACAATTAATATAATAGAACTAGAAAGTGAGGTGATAAAATTAACATTTTTGATCAATCATGCTCTTATAAGTGGCATAATACATATAATAATGTTAATTTTCTCCTGAGCTCTCCAAATGTTAATTCACCAAAAACCAAATTTTTTAATTTTTTCTTAAAATTTAAGACCAAACTGGCATCTCAAATTAATTATAATTTTATAAAACCTATTATCTGGCATATAGAAAATATCTAGTACAATGGAGATAAAAATCTTTCTAAATATGTTTTAAAATAGCTTGTATTTTTAGTTTAGTATTTAAATATAATTTCTGAGACAATTATTGTTTTATGCTCCCTATCATGATATGAAAAGAATATTATTACTAATTTTATTCAAAAAAGTTTATTCAGGCCAGACCTTGTATTTTTGACTTCTAATCTAGAAAAAATACTTAAACAGTTTAATATCCCTATCCAAGTATAAAAACTTATTATTATAAATAAAACAGAAATGGCTAGTAGTAAATAGTATAAGACAAATAATCATTTAAAAACTCTTATTACAGAAAACTATGTCTCAATTAAGTGTAAAGGCCTTGAATCCCAAGATTGTAATCATTTTGCTGAATTTATGATTTTAAATAATCATGATGCCTTAATTCGAATAAAAATGAAAGATAAGCATATCATATATTTAGATGTCTCTCCTTATTGTAAAAATAATTTTGCATATTTTGATCAATTAAAAAAGATTCTTAAGCATTCTAATATGCCTAGATCTTTTATATTATATTTGCTTAGTCTTAATCTTTTTAGATGAAAGCCACATAAGATTCCTTTAACTAAAATAAAAATAGAAATCATGTAAGACCAACTACCTAATCCTATTTGATTTATAATTAATTATATTGCATCATAAGCTAAAGATAAAGTAGCTAAACTAAGTAGCAATATATTATATCAAGAATATTTTGATTAGTATAAAAACAATAAAGAAAAACCATTTTCTAACAATATTCTTGATAAGAAATACTTAGAGGTTAATATTGAACACAAGAGAGCAAGTGGTAAGAAAAGAGAATGACAATACATTTTCAATCACTTTAAATTATAACTAAGCTTTATGAATCTGGTCTAGATAATATCAAAGAATTTTCTAATACATCTCAATCTAACTTATCTGAAAATAGGACAGCAGACATACTTATCTTCAATATATTAGAAATTATTTTTCCAAAAATAATTTTACCTTAGACAGAAAAGAATCTCTCTTCTAGTAATAAGAAAGCAGATAAACAGAAAAATCTAACCTAAGCCTATTTGACTATATAATAGAAGAAGCTAAAACATTAGTTGCTTCAACATCTAGAACTTTTAAAACTTCTAAGACATCTAATCTATCTAAGCCAAAAATTATTAGCAGTCTCAAAAGGACTAGCTTAAAACTAGCAAGCTTTTTGAACCTATTAAGCTTATAAGTAAAGTGGTGCCTAATATGCCTTTTAAAGAAACCAATTCTTCTAAACTTATTAATAAAGTATCATCTGCAATACTTCTAAGCAGGACCTAACATAAAGAGTACCTTAGAAAAAAGACAATTGAACTTGATAAAGATCTTAATATATTTGTAACTATTACAGAAAAGAACAGATTTAATTCTATTGCATTTTATTATAAAATAGAAATAGATGTATAAATATGCAATTATGCAAAAGAGAGTAAAGAAGACCCAAATAAAAATATAGAAATGATAGTATGAGAAAGATTAATAGAAGAAGAGATTATCTAGTATGAACTTGAGAAAAAAGAAATCACATTCTCATAGCTTGATACTAATAAGAAATAGCAATAAAATATAAGTATACTTTAGAAGAACAGTATATTTTGGTAAAGAGTGAATAAAAAGCCAGTTTATAAGTGAAGTATTTAAATAAAAGGGTTCTTTACAATTAGACAAAATAAAATTCCAAATTATTAATTATTTTTTTCAAATTGAAAAATAAGTAGATTAGTATAACAAAATAATAATTGCAATTTACTTATTGTTAACATGTTTACTAAAGCAATCACTCCAAAGATCTAAAAGCCCAAAACTAATAACTTTGTATTGGTTTTAGAGCAGTTCCTAGAAAAGCATAATTTGATGACCAACTTCAATCCAGAACAATTAAGAGAACATGCTTCAGAACTTAATATTCAATTGCATAATTAAAAAGCCTACAAGTGTGTTAAAGATTTTCTTGCCAGATGCACTAATAAAAGATATGCATTTAGTAAAGAGCAAATAAAGACTCTCATATCAGATAAGAGAAAAAAAATTCACTATAAAGGAATGAGCAAAATATTGCGCTAAGACTGGTAATAAGTGAAACATTTTTATTTATTTTTATAATATAGGTTCAAAAAGTAATAATAATAAAAAAATTGTTACTAGTTGTTTACAGCTTTTACTATTTTATAATAAATTGCTGAAAGTTGGTGTTGCTTATAAACTAATTGATACTTATGCCAAAGACTTAAATGTTACTACAGCTTCTAACAAAATTCAAAAAGAATAAGCTGAGTAAGATGTAGCCAATAATCAGTTAAAAATTCTATCATATTTCTTCTTAGAAAAAGAACTTAAAAGAATTCAAAATATTGATACTACTAATGATCTCTTATTACAGAATCTTGCAAAAATAATGATAATATTGTATATGAGGTCAGCTAAAGTATCTAGCCTTCAGATCAATTACTATGAAGTTGATCCTTTTAGTTCTTCAGTATGGTATAAAAATAGTTATTCTTGATATTGTATTATATATGCTAAGAATAAAGAAGAAAATAAAGATAATTTAGAGTTTTACCTATTTCTTGTTATAAAAAAAAATTTAGAATGTGCAAGAACACTATTTATTCAGATTCAAAAAGCTATAAAGGCTGAAAAGTTGAATGATCTCACTTTTAATAAAAATAGAAAACAGAACACTAAGGTATTTAGTAAATTCCTAAAGCTTATAAAATTATGCCTAAAATATTAAGAAAAATAGGAAGTAAGCATGCTTGCAAAGCCCATAGCAAACCAAACTCAACTTATTAGCATCTTAATCTTCTTAACAGAATAGTATTGAAACCTAAAATTGTCTATCTAAATGCAGAAAAGAATTATACTATAGGTGATACAGAATCAGAAAAGTTTAACTTTGAAGCAGAGACAGGTAACAGTTCAAAATTTTAAATACAGGCTTCTTTGTTATCTCAAACAATAGAAATAAATTCAATATTAGCTAAAATTGATGTAATATTAGCTGAAATTTAGAAATAAATACCAAAAGAAGGGTCGGATAGTGATTACTTATTTAGAAAATTTTACTAAATTCTCATATTGTTAACCTACAAAAATAACTATAACTCTTGAACTACTGGACAGAATTCAATGAAACCATTACTATTCGAATCAACTTATTAAGATAGTTCTAAAGAGGTATAGATTATCCATTTCTGATCACAGAATCACAAGATTGAATCCAATAACTAAATTAATAAGAAAGTTGTGATCTGATTGGTTGAATGATTACTGCGTGAAATATCATACATATAACATATATAACATTTATGCATTTTAAAGCATATATATTTCATATTATATTTAGTTTATATATATTATTTAGTTTATTTATTTTATTTATTTTATATATCAAACATATCTTATTTATTTTATTAATAGTAATTGTAAAATATCTTATACATGTAAAAGATATAGGCCATTACATATACTATGTAGTCAAAAAGTATAAAAGCGATCAATATGAACCCCAAGTTCAACATTGAGTCTTCATACTCTTTCACTAATAAACTACTATTTTATACTATCCAAATTAAACAGTTATTAGTATCCTCATATACTTTTAATTGTAACCTTTTTTATAATTGCAAATTAACTTAAATCTTCTTTGTTAAATTTTCTAAAAAAAACACCTTCTGACTTAGTTATAACACAGTAACAAATGAGGTTACAAAAAGTGTTTATTGTTTAAGATCACTCTAGTTACCTACTATCTTAAAAGAAATAAATATAGAATAACAAATTAGTGATTACTATAAGATCATCTACTCTTTTTCATCTAAAAATTAGAAAAATAAAAAAGAAACTTTAGTTTTATGAAACGTTTGCCACTAAGTAATATTACTCAATTTTGATCTGTTTGAGCTGAAATTTTACAAATATACTCTTTGAAGAATTCCACATCTTTTCTATTAAGCTTATCTTGGGACAAAAATCCTACTAGAACCTGCAATCATATTGATAGTATTTTTCTTCTTTAGAAAAATAATCTGCAAAAATTATTAGTCACATGATCTACATTATGAAATCAAATCAAAAATCAAATATTAAGACCACAAAACCAAAATTGAACTAATACTTGATGCCTAGAAGAGGTATTACAACTGTACAAACATTTGAATATATTGAAAACACTCTTGCTTGGAAAGCTTCCTCTTATAAGAAGTTTTCTAAACAAAAATTAGTTGATTCTACTGAACAGGAAGATGAAACTTTTGTCTTTTTTTGAAAACTCTTGAACTAGCTGACTACTATTTTATTCAATTGAAACAAACTCAAGTTTCTGACTCTTAGAAAACATACAAATATATAATAATCTTTTATTTATTATATAAAATTTAATTTTCAAGAATACATACTAAAAATATTTATATATCAAAAAGAACATTTAGCAGGATCTTCTTTGAGTCAAACAGATGATTCTTATAATATTTAATACCCAGTAACTACTTTTATTTTCCAAAATTTTTGGAATTTTTATCAGTAGTATTATATACAATACTTTGTTAGTAACTTCTCTAACAAATCACTAGAATATTTTTAACAGATATCTTCTATTTATATTCAGTTTAACTTATCTCAATTAAAAAATATGATTTTTAAATTTATTTTTAGTTTTAGATATACCTGTTCTCCTGATAATATTATTGAAATAATCAATAGTATAGCTAGTTTAGCTATATATACTAGTTGCTTTTACAGGAATCCTTTTTCTTTAACTGATGCAAATTTTGAAAATAATCACTTTTACAATGATTTTAAAAATTATAGTGATTCATTTCAAAACCTTTTCTCTATAACAACTTTTAATTTAGTACAATCTAGTTCTATATTCAAATCTGCTAGTTTACTTATTAATATAATGGCTACTAATCAACAAATCTATAACTTTTTAAAGGAAAATGAAAAAGAAAGTATGTTATTAAGAATTGAACTATTAAGAGAAGATAGAACTCAAGATCCTTTTATTTGGATTAAAGATTTTAACAAAGCTTTCAAAGCAAACAAATAGAATTTAGCTAGGAAAAAAAATATCCTTACTGCCTTTTTAAGAGATAATATTGATGATTAGATTACTACTGTTCCCAATTATATTAATGAAGGAACAACTTGGAATATTGTAGAAACAGCTTTTACAAATATGTTTTGTACTTAATAATAGCAAAATAAATGGCTTAGAAACTTGAATACTTTAAAACAAAGACCAGAAGAACCTGTAGACTCCTACTACAGTAGATTCAAAAGATTAATTAAATGAGTTAATATTAGAATTCTACTTCAAGATGCACAGAAGTTATACTATTTCAAAAAAAGATTGTGTTTAGCAACTCTACCTATTCTTTTTATTTATAATCTTGCAGATTTAGATGAACTTCTTCAATTTGCTAGGACTCATAAACAAGAAACTGACTTTACTATTAATGCTGATTCTGGCTTAACTAATTCTAATATTGTTATATATGAAAAGGAAATAGAATAACTGACCAAACAAATAAACAAGATGTCATTAAACTATACATCTATTGCATCTGCTTTAAGTGCTCAAACTGAACTACAAACTCAATATCATCCAAACTAATCCAGACAATTTTACCAAAAACCAAAACCTATTAATAATCTGAGACCTAATAACTATCCAAGATCTGCTAATAATTCAAGACCTACTATTATTTGTCATCAATGTAGTGAATATGGACATATTGCTAGAGACTGTATAACAGAATGATTATCTACCAAAGAACAACATTATCAGATGAATGTAAAACTACAAACAAATAGAAAAATCAACTATGCTACTATAGAAGATGATGAATATTATTCAGATAAAGAAGAAGTTTATATTACTTATACTTCTTAGCCTAAACCTTATAGTACTAATTGAAAAGTACAAAAAGAAGCCTAAAGAGAAACTCAAAAAAAATCAAAATCTCAAAAAAAGATTAAATTAAAAAACAAAACTGTATTTTCTGATGAACCTGAATTGAAAGATATGGTTGATAAACCAATTAAAGTCCTTAAACCTCCCAAAACTACTAGAAAAAGAAATCAAAAACTTTCTTCTGTAATTGACCAATTGGAACCTTATGATATCTCTAAAGACCTCTTGAATAGACAAGCTCAAGCTACCTATGGACAATTATTACAATATCCTAACCAATATAAAAACCTTGTCCAAACTATGAAAAGAGATAATGCATCTATTACTGAAGCAAACCATGTAGAATTAGGACCCAAATAAAAACCAGTAGCAATGAGATGTTATGTAAACATTAAAGAACAGCTAGTAGTAGCTATCCTTGATTTTAGTGCTGCTGTTAGCATAATTACAGCTAAATTAATAAAAAGATTTGAACTAAAGATCAACCAAGAATCAAAAACTATTGTCATTATTGCTAATGGAGCTAAAAAAAAAGCATTAGGCTCTATTACTAATGTAAAAATCACTCTCCAAAACATTGTGATTCTTATTAACTTACAAGTAATTGAGTCAAAAGATAAGACACTTTTGTTAGGAACTAATTGGTTCAACAAGTCTAGAGCAAATCTGGATTTCGATAATCATACTTTGAAAATTAGATACTTAGAAAAAAAAGCTACTATCTATACAACCCATGTAAGTGAAGAGCTAGTACCTGAAGAATTTGAAGAATTTACTAATAAAGATAAATAGATTGATGAAATTGAACAAGATGATAAAATGAAAACTTATTATACTGAAAAAGAAGAACAAAAAGATAAAAATTTATTCTATAACCCCTGAACTGAAATCATTACTAAAAAGAATCTAGCAGCCTATATTACTCTTATTGCTGAAGTTGAGGTTCAACCTTCTATTATGCAAATCAACACTTCTCTTACTAGCTCTGAGAAAAAAATTGCAGAGAAAATTCTTCTTAATAACTACTACATTTTTGCAAAAAACATATCTGAGAAAGAACAAATCTTAGAACTAGGACAAACTAATAAAGTTTGTTATAAAATTTATACTTCAGCTGCTTATTTAATTAAACAAAGAGCCTATAGAGCATCTTCAGATGATCAAAAATTCCTCAAAAAAGAAATTAAAAAAATGAAAAAAAAAGCATTATTAGAAAATTATGTAGTTCATGGTCCTTATCTGTAGTTATTGTATCTAAGAAAAATAGCAAAAAGAGATTTTGCATTAACTATTGCAAGCTAAATGCAGTCACAGAAAAAGATGTCTATCCTTTCCTTGATATTAATGAAATCTTATCTGTCTTTAAAGGAGCCCAATGGTTTATTAGCTTAGATCTGGCTAGTAGATATTGGCAAGTAGCTGTAAATAAAGCTGATAAAAAGAAAACTGCTTTTATTACTAGACAAGGCATCTATAAATTTAATGTAATGCCTTTTGGACTATGCAATACACCTGCTACTTTTTAAAGATTAATAAACAAGATTCTATAACTATTTATTAACAAGTTTGTTGTAGTATATTTGGATAATATTACCATCTACTCAAAAACATTTGAAGAATATTGTCAACATTTGCAAACTGTATTTAAAGCCTTAGAAAAAGCTAACCTAAAACTAAATACAGAAAAATATTTCTTTTTATTAAATGAATTAAAATTTTTAGGACATATTGTTGGAAAGAATGAAATAAAACCTGATGAAAAAAAGATTGCTAAAGTGAAAAACTTTCCAACACCTACTAATGTGCAACAAATTAGAGGATTCTTAGGACTTGCTTCCTATTACAGAAAGTTTATAAAAGAATTTTCAAAAATTGCCAAATCTTTAAATCTTTTATTACAAAAAAACCAACCTTATCAATGAGGTGATGAACAAAAAGAAGCTTTTCAAACTCTTAAAGATCATCTTATCTCTGCACCAATCCTACAGTATCCTGACTTCTATTAGCCTTTTTACATTTATACTAATGCCTTACAATCTGGTTTAGAAGCTATATTAGCTCAAATAAATAAAGATAAAAGAGAACATGTTATAAT